AAGGATTTGCCCCCTTTTGGATGGGATATTAAGACCCCTAGCATTATAAGTGCAGAGGCGTAGTTCCGACAGGGCGACTAGAGGTGGGGCCATGGCAGGTATGGGGGGGATAGACGTAGAAGACCAGGGCAGAATTCGGGGCTGGAGGGAATAGAGCCCTAGGGGGTAGAGAGGAGGAGATGTCCAGAGGACTAAGCAATGAAGTGTAGGTGGGCAGAAAGAAAGAAAAGTGGAAGTAGAACCAGGAGGCAAGTTAAAGAAGAAAGGGGACCCGAGGAGGAAAGTAGTATAGAGAACACAGAAGAGGGACAGACAAAATCCAAAAAAACTAAATGGGCGGCCTAAGCCGCTACGGGAAGAACTAACTTCTAGTCAAAGCTAGAGTAAAACGATCTCCAATGGGAGACGTGATGCCTACACGGGGGAAGTAGTCGAGTATGAAGGATCAAGGTGCCCACCGGGGCCCAATTGTGAACACCCCAGTGAGAACCATACTCAGTCCTGACATTCAATCAAACTCAGCAGAACAGTGACCCCCCCTCCCAAAGTGATTGTCGGCTGTGGGGTAGGGGGCCCCACCGGTCATTGCCCTCCCCTATGCAACAAGTGTCAACCAGAGGAAGGCAGACATTGATCCATTCCCATCAAATGCAGGGAAGACCGCAAGGTCGGACCATCAAGGGCAGTCCCCACCCCTCAGCCGCATAAAACATCATCTCAAACCATACAATAGTAAAGACAGAATTCCACAGTATAAGAAAAAAAATGCTTAAAATATAACAGAACCGTAAATTTAAAGCCAGAACCTTGTGACTTGTCAGCCCGTGAGGTAGCGGATGCCCTTCAGGGATTACGCCAGATCAGGGAGCGACCCAGGGAGTACCTGGCCTACTCCAGGGGTCCACCAAGCCCCCTCAGGCCCGGAGGGGTCTAAGAGGGGTCGGGGAGCACTCGATACACGATGGCCCATAACAGTTGCGACCCAGAAGGACCTAGGGAAAGAGGCTGGTTAGGTAGGGCAGCATAGAACAACAGTGGATAAAGGCATTGAGTTAGGTATTAAGGCAGATGATGCGGTACATCACGGTGGGTGAGTCAAAAAGAAGGCAACAGCCGATCAGCCCTCGCTCGCGGCTGGGGCGTTGAGTGGAGCGGGTCTTCGGGCCCTGCGGTTGGACCGTGATCGGGCTCTCCGTTGGCTCTGGGGTAGGACTGCAGAGGAGCGGGAGACCCCTCCGGCAAAAGGAAGATCCAGCCAGTCTGGAGTTTGAACTGGCTCCGTCTCTAAGAATCCAAAAAGCTCTGGCAGTTGAGTTGGAGTGTGCAGTTGGAATGTTGCTGTGCCTTTGCGGATAAGAATGCTGAAAGGGTGACCCCAGCGGTATGTGGCTCCCGTCTGGCGGATGATATCCAATTGAGGTCTCAGCAAGCGTCGCATCGCTAGGGTCAAGCGGGAAAGGTCAGGTAAAAGTTGTATAGAAGCGCCATCGAAGTCGATGGGGCCGCTTCTCCATACAGAGCAAAGTATTCTTTAATAGCAAAAAAATGAACCCGACATAGGACATCTCTGACATGGTTCAAGGGTCCAGAGACCCGGTGGACTCTGTCCAGCTCGATGAAGGTAGTGGTGGGTTTCCCCAGGGCTATGTTAAGAATGGCAGTAACAGTGGCATGCAGATCAGGCCCTTGGGTGGCCTCAGGGATCCCCCTCAGGCGAATGTTGTTGCGGCGACTGCGGTTCTCTCCATTTTCTATCCTCAGCTGCAGGTGCTGGAGCTGTGCACGATGGGACTCCTGGGCCTCCTCCAAGGCTCCCAAGCGAGTTTCCTGCAGAGTCATTGAAGCAGACATAGCTGCTATGCTGGAATTTACTGCGGCTGCGGCCTTCTTCTGTGGAGCTAATTTCGGCGGTCGCTCGGCGGTTTGAAGTAGGACGAGATGTCCCTAGTCCAGGATCTGGAGGGGGTGGCGGGTGAAATCTGGGTGCCGGACATAGAGCGGGGATATCGTAGATTAGGCTGATAAGGTGCCCCGGTACCGCAGAGCTCACAGAAGTGTGACTTCACTCCTCCATGGTCGGCCGCACCCCCCTGTACATCTCTGTTTTAATGTATGATTTGTTTTTATAAATATATATAAAGTGATGCACTGATACCATTTTTGCGAGTACAAGTACTGATACTTGCCCAAGTCCTCACAGATACAAGTACTGATACATTTTTGTTTATTGTCATGTGACAGTTTTCCTAAAACAATATCGACTAATGATTTCAGGACAGTGGTGGAGCGCCAGAGCCCAGTCGTAGCTGCAACCGCTGCCACCCTTGTAGTTCTCATGAAAATGCCAAGTATCGGCACTGGTATCTGAACTGGTATCGGAGCATCCCTAATAGAAATAAATACATTTATGTAACTCTTCATCTCGCAATACCAAATTTTCTTTCCATACAGCACAATGCAAAAAGCCACAAATCAGCAATATGACCACATTACCTGTATACAAGGAATACTACAATGTGAATGAGTCTGTAGGGGTGAAGTGTGTGGACGGATATCGGCCATCAAATAAGAAGATGACATGTGTGACAAATGGTGACAAGGTTGAGTGGGACCGAACGACACAGTGCATAGGTGAGCAAATGTCCAACACTCACTCTGCTGCCTCCATATAAAGTCCCCCTGTAGCCAGACTATAGACATTGAAGTATTATCATATTCTTAACAAGCAGTGAAAAAGCTTTAAAACATGCTATCACTGATGTCACTGGCTGCACATAGTGTGAATTATTCTCAAACATCCTCAAGGATCACAGCAAAGACCCTGACTTTGGTTTCAGTTTTTTTTTCTAATGGCTTTAACAAACCTTCAGCGTCTTTATGTTAGAGGGTTGGCAGGCCGTCAAGATTCTGCTACAATAGAAAGAAGTAGGAAAAAAATAAGATTTTGTGGCCTCTGTTGTGAACCTGAAACATTAATAGCTCCACGGTGCCTATAGCTAGAGAGGTGAATTTAGGCCTGGTTTAAAGTGCGACTTGTTCTAAATATATAAATACCTTAGAGTGCATAGTCTGGGCACAGATTCACTTTAAAGAAGAACTCCAGAAATTTGAACCCCCTACCCTTGCAGTGGGGCTACCCACGCACTGCAAGGGTTAAATGTTAATTTTGTCTAGGGGGCTCAAAAAAAGAAGATTTACTCATGGCTCATTTTGCTTCTTGGGAATATATAAATACTACAGTGTGTATAGTCTGGACACAAGCTTGCTTTAAAGAAGGGGGGCTACCCCTGCACTGTAAGGGTTAAGGCCCCGTTCACATTGAGCGATTTATCGCACGGTAATTCCCGCGATATCGCGGCTATTTACCGCGCGATATTGCTCTTCAATGCTTTGCAATGGGGCAAGGGATCCTGCTGTCGCGGGTCGTGTGTCGCTACAGCAGGACCCTTTTTGGAGCGGATTTTGCCGCGATTCCAGCTTGCTAATCGCGCAGTGTGAATGGGGCCTAAGTGTTCATTTGTCTAGAGGGCTCCAAAAAAAAAAAACTGATTTACTCACCTGACAATGTGCCTTGGTATCGTCACGTCTAATACAAGTAAATGAACCTGCATAAGACATGCAGGGTTGTTCACAAAAGGGTGAAGAGTTTGTAGAAGGCCGGAAAAGTGAGCAATCTAGGACAACATAGCTGATTTAGAAACATTCTCCAATTCAGCTCACTTTCCAGTTCAGCTATTTTGTCCTAGATTGTTCACTTCTCTGGCCTTCTCCAAACTCTTCACCCTTTTGTGAATAACCCCCATAATGATGTCAGTGGTCCTTGTCAGTGGTCCCGCTGGAGCCCAGGGGAGAAGAGGCTGTGGGAACCGGTGTAACAGGCCAAAGGGAGCTGGTGAGACCAAGGATCAGGTAAACCCAGGTAAATGGTGATGCAAATCTGCCTGGAAATTAATTGTAATTAGGAATTTACTTTTTCTGGCCAAGTGACAGAGTGGGTCAAGCAGTTGATATTAGCAGCTATTGAGCTTTCTACATGAATTTATTCAAGGAAATCAAACATTACTCAATTGTGAGGTTTCCTAAATCAATCAGCACTACAACCAGCTCTCTAACTTTATCAGGTCAATCATATTGGTCAGACAAATCTTTGGAGAAGAGAGTCAAGGCTAGAAGTATACATTGTATAAATAATACCCACCTACTGTATATGTTAGTTAAGCTAAACCACACACTGGTATATTTTCATACAGATGTTCATATTAAAATATCTGGTCAGAACATTGGATAATGGCATCAGAGACTTGATTAATGTTGTTCGAAATTCTGTTTGGTTTTCACATCTGATTTTGGCAAATAATGGAGTTCCTCATTGGTTGTCGTTTTCCTTAAAGAAACTCCATTCTTTTCCAATTTTTCATCCCTCTCCTTTGATTTTTTTCATCCTTGTGGTCAAAAGCGGTAGTCGATTTGACCCCCATTAACTATTAGAGTCAAAAGAACATTCAAAAAACAATTTTTGCCAAACAGAATTTTTTCTGGTGAACGGCCAGTTTTTGAATTAAATGCAAAACCCTGAGATAGAGCCTGTGTAAATATTAATATCGGGCACATGACTCAAGCATCTAATTTCCCCTGATGCCGCAATACCAGGAAAATGGTTCTATAGCATAGAAGTATAGAAGGTCGACAATAGAGCTTCTCCATTCATTTTAATGATGGGTCAGTTTGAACTACAAGTGTATCTCCATGAGATTTGTACTTTTTAATTATTTATTTAACTCTTAACCCGGCATTATCAATTTTATTTTCATTCAGCACAGTGCAAAAGGCCGCAAATCAGCTAAATGGTTAAGTTAACTAAAGGGAATAGATACTACAATGTGAACAAGTCTGTAGAGGTGAAGTGTGAGGAGGGTTATTGGCCAACACATAAGAACATGACATGTCGGAAAACTGGTGATGGGGATGAGTGGGACCGAACTCCACAGTGTATAGGTGAGCAATTGTCCAACACTCACTCTGCTGCCTCCCAAATCATAAACAGAAATTTTAAGTACAGATAGTAAAATATACAAGATGTCATTCACCCCAGAATTCACAGACAAGGGGTTATGTGGGTCTACCTGGAATCTAATTCTAATTAGAGGAGGGTCTAAATTGGAGGATGATGGAAGGAGACTTTTCAGAAGAAGGATGGTAGATGGTATTATGATATTCTACAAGACTGTTGATTTATAGAGCCACAAGAATGTAGGTTTAGTATAAAAAATGGAGTAAGAAAGACAAAATTACATTCTCAAGAGCCCATGTGAATGTTTGTTTGTGTCTGGCACACAATTCCATCCTTACCACCGACAATGCCACAATATCAGGAAAACGCTTCAATAATAGAGATCTATGTAGAGTTTGCAATGGGCCACAATTGTCTCTTCATGATGTTTTCCTGAATAATTAATTATCAAACTCCTTACCCAGCATTAACACATTTTTTTGTAATGTAAAAAGTATGTAAAAAGCCAGAAAATGTCAATATAAGCAAATCATCTGTAGACAAGGAATACTACAATGTGAATGAGTCTGTAGCGGTGGAGTGTGAGAAGGGATATCAGCCATCAGATGAGATGATGACATGTGTGACAATTGGAGATGAGTCTAAATGGGATCGCTCTTCACGGTGTATAGGTGAGCAAATGTCCAGCGCTCACTCTGCTAGCACTAAATTGTACCGAAGATTAGGGGGGTTATTCACGAAGGAGCCGAAGGATCCAGCTGTAGCTTCACTGATCTATTGGCTCTCTTCAGCCACCGGAGCCCTTTGGTTCAGTCGAACCAAAGGGATGCTGTACGGGCTTTTCACTATAGCCCATACAGCAGCCAAAGACTCACTTGAGCCAAAGGCATATGCTTCGGCTCGACTGAGCCAAAGTGACAGCCGAAGCAGGCCGAATGGCTTGCCAAAAGTGGGGCGAACGGCCTGCCGAAGTTGTAATGACAGATCAGTGTCCCCAAATGCCCTAGGGATGCTGAACTGTCATTAAACAATAACAACTGGGCGGAGCCGGCTGTGACATCACTCTAGCAGGTGACGGCCAATAGGATACACTCACTGCTAGCTCTGCTTAATCGTTTTCTTTTTATTATTATTATTTTTTTTAATATCTTTATTTATTTATAAATTTTACTATTTGAATTTTTTAAAAATGTTTCAACCTTTTTTTCACTGATTTTCTATTTTGCTCGGCACCACAGAGGTACCTAGCAGAATAGTCAAGCGGCATTCGGCTATTCACTCACTGCTGTTCAGCCACTATGAAAATAGGGGCGAATGGCAGCGAGTGAGCTGCCGGAGCTTCGGCTCAGCCGATCCAGATGTTGGATCGGCTGAGTCGAAGTCCTTCTGCATTTTGGCTCAGCTGAGAGCATGTTCGGCTGAACGAAGGCAGCCATACAGCTGATTTGAGCTTCGGTACGGCTGAAATCAGCCATACAAGCCAGAAGTAAATAACCGAACAGCCTTCGGCAGGTTAGTGAATAACCCTATAAGAGCACAGATAGTAGGATATACAATACATACAAGATATCAATCACCCAAAGTGGCAGCTTGGACACTAATGGGCAGGTATGGCCAGGGCAATGAAGACTTGTGCCGTTGGATGCACACAAACTGTGGAACCGCGGACGTGGGATCGAGGTAAGTATTCATCTGTGGAAGGGGGGTTAGGTCAGAACCAGGGGCGGGGGCAAAAAAGAATAAGTACATTTTGTTATAACATACACTTATCCTTTAATAAAGACTTTTCCTCGGTTCTTCTATAACACTTTAAGGGGTTGGTTCATAAAAGTTGTGGTGGAACTAGTGTTAATAGATGGCTCTGACAAATATAGGATCCTATACTCCTCAGCCCAATCTAGGGGCTCTGGTGCCGTGTGAACTTTCATAGATAAACCCCCTAAGAGTTTGCAGTCCTCAATTTTTAATTTAGTCTTTCAATGTTCTTTATATAAGGTTTCACAATGACGGATTGGAAAGTCACCTCTGCAAGCATCAGCTTCAAAATCTTATGTAGTCCACAATGTCCATCAACATGGAGATTTACTGCTAGTTGTGAGCTTATGCTGGAAAATGATACATCATGTGGCAATCTGCATAATAAAACAGACATGACATTCACCGATCTACAGCCGTTCTCCAAGTATATAATCAACACCACACTTCACATAAAAACTAGGTCTATCCTTCTGGAGACAATAGAGATCAGGACAAATGAATCGGGTAAGTTACATTTATTTAGCCAGCCAGTGCTTTTTGTTTTCTATCATTAATGTTTATTGTGGGTTTCCCAGTTTGCAGGAATAATTTCATATCCCTCAATCCTGGCTTTATAGATATTTACAACTTAAACATGCAGCTACTACCCAATATGGGTCTGGGGAACTTGTTCTACAGACCACAGTGGTAGAAAGATTAGTAATCACAGACTCCTACTGGAAGCTGATCTCAAACTATTACTGTCCCTTATTGATGTGAACAGATCATAGACTAAACCGTCTAGAGCAGTGGTTCTCAACCTTTCTAGGTCTGGGACCCCTTGGTAACATTTGCCAAGTTGTGGTGATCCCCAACAGAGCACTGGACTCAGGACTTAGTAACGGACTGTACTCAGGACTTAGTAAGGCACTGGACTCAGGACTTAGTAAGGCAGTGGACTCAGGACTTAGTAAGGCACTGGATTCAGGACTTAGTAAGGCACTGGACTCAGGACATAGCAACGCACTGGACTTAGAAATAAAAATAGAAGCACACTCACAAGAATGCAAGCCCTCCCCAGCCCCTGCTCTGTCTCCATGCAGCCTTCTCAGCCCCAGCACTGCTTAGACGCCCGCCTCCTGCAGAGCCCGCACTGTATGGGAGGCAGGAGGACAGCAACGGCTGTGAATAGAAAAGTCCTGCTGTACACACTCCCCGGCCACTAGAGGCCGCTGCAGCGGCCAGGGAGTGTGTACAGCGGCACTTTTATATTCACAGCCGTTGCTGTCCTCCCGCTGACTGACACTGCTGCGCAAGGAGGAGGCTGAGGAGGCTCTCACCCAGCGCAGCAGAAATGGATCCGGCGACCCACTCAACAATGGGTTGCGACCCACAGGTTGAGAACCGCTGATCTAGAGGATAAATGGGGAGGAGATATGCCAGCTCTCTCTTGGGTGGCCCAGGAGGGGCCCATGGTCATCTCCTCTAGAGACGAACGGACTCCAATTAGATGCACACACATATTACTAGGGATGCACCGATACTTTTCAGATACCAGTGCCGATACTTGGTATTTTCACGAGAACTACCAGGGTTGCAGGGTTGCAGCTGGGACCTGGCTCTGGCTCTCCACCACTGTCCTGAAATCATTAGTCTGTATTGTTTTAGGAAAACTCTCACATGACAATAAACAAAAATGTATCAGTAATTGTGTCTGTGAGTACTTGGGCAAGTATCAGTACCTGTACTTGCAAAAATGGTATCAGTGCATACCTATATTTAGTCTAGTCTTGGAGCTGGAAAAGTATCTGTACTTGTACTTGTAACGAGTACTGTACTTGGTATCGGTGCATCCCTAAATATTACACTTCAGTCAGGCTATTCAAAATGGGGAAGATGCCCACAGACTTACACCTTAAGTGTTGGAGTTGTCGAGGAGATTTTCTTTACTATTTTGGTCACTCATTTTATCTTACAGCTTCTGACTGTTCCCAAAATTTGTAATCCGATAGTATGTTTATTGGACGTCCTTTTGGACTATCCCGTAGAACACACCCATAAGTCCATGATACATTTCTACCTTTCTATGCCAAAAAAAACTGATAGCTATTCAATAAAAATGCTCTTAAGCAGAACAACTAAGTGGGTACACCTTTTTAACAATGCAGTTCCTCTTTAATATGTGCTCTACAAGGCAAGAGGCTGTCTGCAGAAATTCCACAAGGTGTGGGGTTTGTAGGTAGAATCCAAATTTACTCATACTATTCAATAATTACTAGCACTGGTTCTTTGTACGAGCACCACCAGTGATCCCAGACATCACATTCAAGTAGGTCTTGACATTCCTATAGACGTATGCTTTTTAATCTTTCAGTATGTGATTGGAAATGTGAGTGACAGACTTTATTGAGCACACACAGACTTGATATTAAATTTGGTGTTTATTAAGGTTTACTTAGGTTTCTATTTGTGCAGTTGCAAATGCCAAAATAATAGAAAAATAAACAAAAATACCAAAAGATTTACATAAAACCTCCTCTTGTATAGCTGTGATTTTCAGCCTTAATGTATGTGAACAAATTAATGTTCTTATGCTACAGTAAATATACTGCCTGGCCAAAAAAAGTCACCACATGGATTTAGCTAAGCAAGGTAGAAGAGCCTTCTATTGGATAAATGTTATGATCTGTTTCTTCAGTTGGTCAGGTCTAGCTTCAGCAATGTTATGTCCTCAAAAAATGAGGTCAGCTGCCTACCTGAATGACCCTGATGGCACATTGGGCATATTCCAAGATGACAATGTCAGGATTCATCGGGCTCAATTTTGAAAGAGAGGTTCAGGGGGCATGAGACATCATTTTCACACATGGATTGGCCACCGCAGAGTCCAGACCTTAACCCCATTGAGAATCTTTGGGATGTTCTGGAGAAGACTTTACGCAGAGGTCCGACTCTCCCATCATCACTACAAGATCTTGGTTAAAAAATAATGCAAAACTCTGGATGGAAATAAATGTTGTGACATTGCATAAGCTTATCGTAAGGATGCCACGGCGAATGCTTGCCATAATCAAAGCTAAAGGTGGTCCAACAAAATGTTAGAGTGTGAGACTTTTTTTGGGCCATGCAGCGTATATGCTTCCTCTTCAATCTCTATCTCTTCATAAGATATACGGGGTTATTCATAAAAGGATGAAGAGTTTGAAGAAGGCCGGAGAAGTGAACAATCTAGGACAACATCGCTGATTTGGAAAAATCCTCCT